CCGCCGCCCGGGCCCTGATTCATCAGGGCAGGGCAGGACTGATGCCCAGCACTTGCAGCCAGACACTGGGAGCTGTGGGAAGCACCCCAAGCAGGTGGAGCTCCCACCGAGTTCCGCAGGCCTCAGGAAGCAGCCCGCCTGCCGTGAGGACAAGCATCCTGTGGCCAGGAGGAGAGGCCCAGCGCTATGATCGCCACCGTGTGGGCCCAGCTGCGGGGAGCCCTGTGATCCCCGAGTGTGGAGGGCAGCAGGTCCCAGGCTGCGTGTCTGCCGCTTCCTGTCTGTCTCCATGCCCCTCCAGAGCAGGGACGTGATGGGACTTTGCCAGCCTGATGAGATGGACCTCCAGCTCAGAGTTTGGGTCTCACTGGCCCCAAGTCTCCCAGCCAGGGGAACTCTGGCCAAAAATGAGTGTGCAGATGAAGAGAGCCTCAGGGCTGGTTCCAGACAGGCCTGAGTAAGTGGCCTGTGACCCGAGCTAGTGACCCTCTGAGAAGCAGCTGCCCCACCTCTGACAAGGGTTCCCAGCCACCACCTCTGACCCGGCCACTTGCCTGCCCCCTGTGTAGACAGATACTGTTGCGTGTAGTAAACCACAGATGCGCGTCTGGCTGTGCCTGTCCTTGCAGACTGCCCTTGGCACCACCGCCAAGCGAGCTTTCAGCCTGGCCTTTGCTAGGTGGGGAGGGATAAGGGGACTGTCCCTGGGCCGGAGCCGCCCCAGAAACCAGAGGAAGTAGCTCAGAGTCAGGGCAAAGATGGGTTTGGCGTTGTGAAGACAAAGACTCAAGGCACAGCCCTGCCACGCTGCCACCCGAGCCCCCTTGTCTAGTCACCCGAATTACCAAGCCCCTGTGTGTCCTCTGACCGGATGGCCTCTGACTGCTGCATAACAAAGCACCCCCAAATCTGCTGCCTTAAAACAGTGAGCCTTTCTACTTGTCTCTCACAGTTCTGAGGTAATGGGCTCAGCTGGGTGGTTGTGGCTCAGACTTGCCCACACCTGCTGGTTGATGCTGGCTGTCAGCTGGGACCCCCGATGGCCAGGACACCTCTGTGTGTGTGTGTGTGTGTGGTCTGGGCTTCCTCACAGCATGGCTGCCAGATTCCCAGGTAGACCTCTGTCACCTTTTATGGCCAAGCCTCAAAGGTCAGATGGTGTCACTTTCTGCCAAGATCACAGGTTCACCCTCATTCAAGGGATAACTGTTGACATTGCATTTTAAAGAGAAAATGTGGGATAGGCGATCTTGCATCAGCCGTCCTAGAAAATTCAACCTGTCACTTCGTCGATGCTTACACTCAGACTGTGGTCTGGGGAGAAGCAACTGTGCAGAACACATGAAGAACCTAGGACAGGTGGAGCGCCCAGAAGCGACCACAGTCGTGAGTTCCCTCTCTCCTCCCCACTCCAAGACAAAGCCAGTGCCACAGTCTTACAGCGTATTTCTACATCTCTCATCCCAGCTGGTCTTTACAACAGTCCCAAGAGAGGGACTCAGTGAATGTGCCCATTTCTCAGACGGCAAAATCGAGCACACCCGGGGCGGTATAGACAAGAAGAGGCCTTCAGTCACAGTGTCTCAGCCTTCTTCCTCCAAGGACTGAGGCCCAAGGAGGCCACACTATGGGTAGTTTCCCCCCCGACCCCGCTATGTGGCCTCCTCGCTAAGCAAGAGGCCCAGCCACCTGCTGGCTAAGGAGAAAGAAAGCCCCCACTTCTGTTCCCCTCAGTTGCTGGCACTAAGTGGAAGTCGTGTGGGTCACCAGGGAAGCCATAGTGTGAAAAGAAAGAGAAACATGGTGAGGCTGTGATGACTGATGGAGGCTACTGGGCGTCCAAGTGTCATCTGGAGTTCTGGCGTCACCGCACCAAGCCACTGCACACTACAATTTGTAATTTGCTCCTCCCTGCACCCAGGTACCTTACCGGATCCCCTCTCCAACCCTGTGAAAGACAAGACCGCTTTGGTTGGTGTCACTATTTCTGCTTTACATGTGGGAAAAGTGGGGCTCCGAGGGGTAAGTCCCCTGCCCAGGGATACGCAGCCAGGACGTGGTAGCAGGTGTAGGACGGGACCCAGGCTCTTGGGTATCCTCCAGTTTGTCTCTCTGAAATTGCTTGGCAGGGCATGGAGTCTGTGGGCAGGGCCATGATGCTGGGTGACTGGCAGGTAGATCCTCATGAGGGTAGAAGCCACATGTACCCCGACTTCCCCAGATAATCCAGGAGGTCCTTTCCAGTGCCATCCAGCGGGACAGGGCCATTCATGGCTCACTGCTGCCCTCTTGTGGCCTCATGCTGTGTATTCTTAGGTCTGCAAACATTAAAATTTAAAGTGCAGAGTACTCTAAGAGCTTAGAGTAGGGTCAAGAAACTACAGAAGAGTGAATGACTTGCTAAGGTCCCAGCTGAGACACTGGGGAGCACCTTGCCTTGCAGCTGAGCTTCAGGGATTGAGGGGCTCATGTCCCCCTGCCAAGAGGGCAGCTGTGCCCCACACTAGCCCCTTCCAGAAGTGAGGGAAGCACGTTTACTGAGCCCCGCTGTGTGCCACGGCAGCTAAACTAATCACATGGATGACTGTTCCCCTTTTGCAGATGAAACTGAGGCCCAAGAGGAGTGGGCTTGCCCAGGCCTCCTTCCTCCTCGTCCCCAGGATACAGCTAGAAATGCACGGGATGCTTTCAGTCATCACAATGGTCGGGGGAACACTCCTGGTACTGGTGGGTAGGGCCATGGATAGCAGACATCTGAGACGCAGGAGACAGTCCTGCCCAATGATAAATCATCTAAGAATGTCTGTAACGCCCGCGTTGAGAAACAGCTTGCCCTGGCTTCAAGTCTTGACTCAGCTACTTCCTCCCACCCCCTGCCCTCTTGGCCTCCAGTAGCACCTCAAAGGTCAGGCATGAGACGATGGACAGAGGCGTGCTTCGCATGGGGCCAGAGGAAGGAAAGAGTGCTGAACAGGAAGAACGGGAGTCTTCCTGGAGTTGTCCTGCCCCTGTTGGAGATACTCTTGGCCCAGGAAATGGCCCAGCTTGGTCTGACCTCCAACCTCCTGACCCTGGACATCCTGGGAGTGAACTGGGCCCAACTGCGGCCTTCTCACCCTCTGCCCTGAGGCAGAAAAAGTCTCTGTGCCAACCTGACTTCTCTGAGCTGCTCTGGGCCACAAGATAGGCTTGTGTTTGGGCTCAAGATAGGGCCAAAGATGGGCTTCACACAGGACTCTCAGTCTCTCTCTGCCACACACACACACACACACAAAACACGTACACAAACATACACAAACATTCACATTGCATTTAAAGCTGGTCACAAGCAACCTCTCTTGGTTAACTTGGGAGGGGTTTTTTTTTCACGAAGTCATACCTAAGGTTCAATTCAGCTTTATAATTTAAAAGAAGAAACTCCATTCAGTTTGCAAAGACAAAAAAGTTCTGGAGATGGATGGTGGTGATGAGTGCATGTGAGGAACTTAATGCCACTGAATGTGTACACTTAAACATGTTAAAAATGGTAAATTTTATGTTATGTACATGTTACCACAATAAAGAAACTCCAAATGTTCATTAATAAATGCCTTAAACATTTTACATTTGCACGGGGGAAAGATGAAGAAATCAGCAGCGAGGGGGCAAAGCAAAGAGCTGAGAATCGTGAAGAGGTGGCAGGAGGGACGGCAGGAGCCTCCCCTGCCCCAGCCTGCCCAAGTCACCCCGCTCAGGCTGCAACCTCGCGCCCTTGTTCTAGGGTTCACCAAGGCAGAGAGCCCCAGAAGGGGATACCTCTCTGCTCTCCCAGCTTCCCATGTTTTTCCTCTCGCTCTCTGGAGTTGGGAGTCCAGCTTCTGAGGCACACTTAGCTGTGTGTCTGAGAGCAAAGCCCGCTCCCTTTACTGGCCATGCTTAAGGCTCCAGAGTCCCTCCAATTCCCCTCCCGCCTAAGCACTGTAAGAGTCTCAACGTTGCTACACCTCGGCTTCACCCTGCCTGGATTCCAGCAGGAGTTCTGGAGGTCGTGCCCGTGACCTCTTCCGCCGGCCCCAGCAGTGGCCTTGTGCCCTCCTTCTGCCCTTCCTCCGGCTCCTTCACGGGGCTGGGAAGCCCCGCGTCCTGCTCCTGCGCTTCACCTGCCCCGAGGCTCCGGCTGTGCAGCAGGCTGGGCGCCCGTCACACCTGCCCAGGGAACGATCACGGCGCATCGTCCCATTTTATGCACGGGGAGGGCGGCTCAGGGACTGAGCCCGAATCCCCGAGCGAGGCCTGCTGAAACTCAAGAGGCACGCACCTCGGGTGCGGGAGCAGCGGCAGGGTCACCAGGGGTCCCCTCCCGGGCAGGGAAACCGCAGCGGCGCGGAGGGCGAGGCTCGAGGTGCAGTCCCCGCCCGCATTCGGCGAGGCGAGCGCAAACATGGCACCCGCGCGGCTATGCCTAAAGAACTTGGCAGGGGTGGGACGCACGCCACGTTTGTTAGCGGGACGAATTAAGGAACCAACGCGAAAGGCACTAGCTGGGTGCAGGGCGAAGGGAACCCCGAGCAGCCCCCTGAGCGGGGGGAGGGGGGGCGGGG